TGGGAACTGAACCCAGGCTGGCTGTGTGAAAAGATGAATGTAATGGAGGTTAGCACATGGACTCCAGTGCTGGGATTTGGGTTAACTGAACCCCATCCAACTATGAACTATAGTGGTACATATGCTATAATGCACGGGCTTTACATCAGAGAAAATCCTTGGAAAAGGGGGAAATGCTTGCTTATTTCACTTGTGCTCTTGAATATTTTGGATTTTATAACATGTAGAGATACTATCTTGTGAAATAAAAAGAGCTTAGCCCTATATATCATTGCTAAAAAGAGGGGTATTTGCTTCTCTGTTTCTTCAACATATTAAACAAAGTGATAAATGATAGACTATGAAAACCAGGACCTGGATGCTGATCTTGGACCATTGTAGAGAGATGGTGGTGGCGTGCTAAGCTGGCCCGAGACGCAGACGTTGCTGGCTTAAGAAAGGATGGGAAGATTATGGAGAGATTATGGGGAATAATGTCTGCCATGGAGGCGGGGGGGGGGGGGGGGGAAGGGGTATACTGGGGATATTGGTGGTGGCGAATGTGCACTGGTGGAGGGATGGGTGTTTGATCATTGTGTGACTGTAACCCAAACATGAAAGCTTGTAACTATCTCATGGTGATTCAATAAAATTTAAAAAAAAATTTAAAAAAAGGATGAGAAGAGTCATAGGATTAGACCACTATTGTTCTGAAGATGAAAGGAAGAGATTTCTGATGAAGGCCATTTTAAAACTCCCATCAAATGGTTAGCTTTTGAGGTAAAGCTCCAGCCATGCACCAGAAACTTGGCCTGGGCTGAACCCTTCAACTCCCCATGCCTGGGAGACACCCAGGGGTTTCTCTGATGCTGCGTGGGGGGCGAAACCCCACCTCCGGGCAAGGTAGCTAGTGTGCGTGTGTGTGTGTGTGTGTGCGTGCGTGCGTGCATGTGTATGTGTGTGTGCGTGTGTATGTGTGTGTGTGTATATGTGTGTGCATACATGCGTGCGTGCGTGCATGTGTATATGTGTGTGTGTGAGATGAAGTGAAAGTGACATCCGGAGAGACTGTTCAGATCCATGTAATGCCAATGCAGGGGGCACCGAGGCCAGCTGACCTTATCCCAGGGGTCAGGCAGGTGCCCTGCTGGGGGCCCTCAGCTATGCTCAGAACTCGGTTGGCTGGAGAGATTTACCCTGTGAAAATTTCCTCCAAGAGAAGTTTGAAGACGTGGCAGGCAAAGACACACGTGCTTAGCAATCAGGGCACCGTCTGCTCCAAACGGCTAGCAAACGACTGTTTCTAGACTTGCAGATGAGGCCAGAGAGGAGTTAAAGCAGCAGGACCAAGAGAGAGTGACCAAGGCTCGACGCTTTACCTGTGCCCTGAGGTCCCTCCAGATCAGCTCGTATCCCCCAGACTGACGGGGGGAAGGCGCTCTCTGCTCACCACGAGACACCCAGAGGCTTCCTATACTGCTTTCTTAGGTGAAAGCTCCTTGAAATTGGCTTTACGTATCGTAGGAGTGGACGGTGGCCTTGTCTCAGAGATGTGGACAATGTTCCTGGGGTTCCCAAGGAAGTCCATGCGTGTAGTGGGCATCTTGGCCCCCCACCCCAATACTGCTGGTGCCTCATAGACCAAGGGACGTTCAGGAAGTCACAAAGGCTAGGCTGTGGACAAGCCAGTTAGAAACTCACATGTCCAGGAGGGCCCGTGTCTCCTTCCCCTCTTCCTCAGACCTCCCAGGGCCAGTGGTCATGGTGCCGACTCTGACCAGGCTGCATGTGCCCTGGAACTGTGTGGAGTGGCCACGTGCAGCGTCCCAGCTGGGCACTACGCCATAGTTAACAGGCCAAAGGAAGGGGACAGAGTACTTTGGAGGCGAGCAGGGTGCGGGGGTGGAGAGGAGCCCCCTTGGTGAGACCTGCCCGTTGAGACTAGGCTGTGTTCCTCCTGTCTTGGCACTTCCTGTGGCTGACGTGGATGGGACAGGAGCTTCCTGGATCATCAGCTTCACTTCTTCATCTGGGAGCACCAGGAAGATGGCAACAAGACACACTCCAACAGGATTCGCATTACACTGGTCCCTGCTCGGGAGACCCCAGCATGGGGCCGGGTCCCTGGAAGCATCCTTGCTCTGGTACTGCCACAGGCCTGGTTAGAGACTTGAGGCCAAGACTCAGCAGCTGTGTTCCGGGGTTGAGTCACCCCATCTTTCTGCATGAACCAGCTACAGTGCCCAGAGCATTCCACAGGGGGAGGATTAAATGATATATGACATGTGCATGCGTGTGTATGTGCATGTGCGTGTGCATGTGTGTGTGTGTGAGAGAGAGAGAGACAGGGAAAGAGGGAGGGAGGGAAAGAGAGGAAGGGAGGTAAAGAAATGGAGGGAAGGAGGAAGAGAGGGAGAGAGAGAGGGAGGGAGGGAGAAGGGAGAGAGAGAGAGAGGAAGGGAAGAAGAGAAGGAGGGAGGGAGGGAAGGAGGGAGGGAGGGAGGGAATGTGCTTCCTCAACTCCTACTGGGGCTCTGTTGCCAAGCCCAGTGAGTTAAGAACCTCCCACATCAGGAAACGCCTGAGCAGGAGTGGGAGAGAGCACAGCCTGCACGGCCGGGGCCTGGCTCACCTGCCCTGGGTTTGACCTGCACCAGTACTCGGTTTCCTGCACATTGCTGGGCCTAGCCCTGGAGGTGTTGGCAGAGCAGGGGATCTGGGAGCCCCTGGCACCTGCAGGCCCTCGCGTGCCATCGCCAGTGCTGCGCCAAGAATCATGGGCCTCCTGAATGCCCCTCGGGAAGCCCCCCCTTCGAATCATACACAATACACGGTACACACGGAACCTCCTGAACACAGCTAAGTGAGCCCGACTGGATGCACTTAGAACACGGACGCTCGGGCGGATTCCTGGGGGTCAGTGTGGACAGTTACTTGCCTCTGGGATAGAGTGAAAAGCAGCTATGGGGCTTTATCTGGTCTTGTGGCAGCCTGGAAGCCGAGGCACACGCCAGCAGTGTTCATACTGCATATACACATGTGCAGGCCTGCACACACATGCATACACATACTTAAACATGCGCACGCACACACAACACATGTAAACAAACACAGGTGTGTCGAATACACAGTACATGTGTGTGCATACCTGTGCCTCATTTGTGAACACACATGATATGTGTGTGTATGCAAACACAATTTTGAGGAGTGCCAGCATAAGAGTTTCCAAATGTGATTTCTTTGGGTTTCTTTTGCTTTTTCTGTTTTGGGCCATACCTGGCAATGCTCAGCAGTTCCTCCTGGCTTTATGCTCAGGAATCACTCCTGGAGACGCTCAGGGGATCTATGAGATGCTGGGGATCGAACCTGGGTGAGCTGCGCGCAAGGCATATGCCCTCCCCGCAGGACTGCGGCTACGGCCCAGTGGGGGGATGCTCATTACAGAATGAATTCCCCACCCCCTGCATCTGGGTGGTCATGTGACTTTGTTCTGGCCAATTACTAGCAAGAAGATATCAGAAGTTCGGCTTCCAAGAAATGCCATCTCCTTCCTTCCTTCCTTCCTTCCTTCCTTCCTTCCTTCCTTCCTTCCTTCCTCCCTCCCTTCCCTCCCCCTCCCTCCCTCCCTCCCTTCCCTCCTTTCCTTCCTTCCTTCCTTCCTTCCTTCCTTCCTTCCTCCCTCCCTTCTCTCCCTCCCTCCCTTCCTTCCTTCCTTCCTCCCTCCCTCCCCTTCTTCCTTCCTCCCTCCCTTGGGCTAGGGAACCATGCAGTACAGAAGTTCAGCTTCCAGGAACCTGGGCTATGGAATGCCAAGACCTTAAATGTCATCTCCTTCCTTCTTCTCTCTCCTTCCTTCCTTCCTTCCTTCCTTCCTTCCTTCCTTCCTTCCTCCCTTCCCTCCCCCCTCCCTTCCCTCCTATCCTTCCTTCTTCCCCTTCCTTCCTTCCTTCCTTCCTTCCTTCCTCCCTCCCTCCCTCCCTTCCTTCCTTCCTTCCTTCCTCCCTCCCTCCCCTTCTTCTTTCCTCCCTCCCTTGGGCTAGGGAACCATGCAGTACAGAAGTTCAGCTTCCAGGAACCTGGGCTATGGAATGCCAAGACCTTAAATGTCATCTCCTTCCTTCTTCTCTCTCCTTCCTTCCTTCCTTCCTTCCTTCCTTCCTTCCTTCCTTCCTTCCTTCCTTCCTCCCTCCCTCCCTCCCTTCCCTCCCCCCTCCCTTCCCTCCTTTCCTTCCTTCTTCCCCTTCCTTCCTTCCTTCCTTCCTTCCTTCCTTCCTTCCTTCCTTCCTTCCTTCCTCCCTCCCCCCCCTCCCTCCCTCCCTCCCTCCCTCCCTCCCTTTCTTCCTTCCTTCCTTCCTCCCTCCCTCCCCTTCTTCCTTCCTCCCTCCCTTGGGCTAGGGAACCATGCAGTACAGAAGTTCAGCTTCCAGGAACCTGGGCTATGGAATGCCAAGACCTTAAATGTCATCTCCTTCCTTCTTCTCCTTCCTTCCTTCCTTCCTTCCTTCCTTCCTTCCTTCCTTCCTTCCTTCCTCCCTCCCTCCCTCCCTCCCTCCCTCCCTTTCTTCCTTCCTTCCTTCCTCCCTCGGGCTAGGGAACCATGCAGTACAGGAGTTCGGCTTCCAGGAACTGAGGCAAACGCCCTTCCTGCTGTCTTCTCGCTCAGGCCTCAGTTCCTCTGACTTTTGCGGACTCGGGGCTGCCGAGCCAGGCAGTGGGTGAGCGGAGTAAGCTGCCAGCTCCCCGGGCACAGAGCGTCGCGCGCAGGACTGCGGCCGTGCCAGGCTCACGGGGTTTACAAATGGGGGGGGGGGGGGGCGGAAAGTGCCCGACGCGTCTCGGGCGCGAACCTCCAGTCCGGGGCCGGAGCGGGGAGGGCGGAGCCCCTGCCCGGCCGGGTAGAAGCGCGCCCTGAGCGCGGCCTCCGCCTCTGGACACACTCGCCCGCCCAGCTGCTCGCCGGAGCCGCACCGAGAGGTCCGGCCAGAACTAGGCCCGGGGGCAGCGCCAGACCCCGCGCTCACCTGTGGATGATGTGGAACTGCTGCAGGTACTCCAGCGCCAGCGCCAGCTCGCAGATGTACAGCTTCACGGCGCCCTCGGAGAAGTGCACGTTCTGCTGCAGGTGGTAGCGCAGGTCCCCACCCAGCAGCAGGTCCACCACCATGAACATGTCCTCCTCGTCCTGGAAGGAGTACCTGCGGGAGATGCACCGCGTCAGGGGAGCCCAGCCCACGCCGGGCCTCGCCGGAGCGGGAAGGGGCCCGAGACGCGTCGGGCGGCCGGGCGCGTGGAGCCCCCTCATCTGTGCAGGCGCCGCTGCTGCTCGCGGGGGTTTTGCCGGATGCTTCCAGAATCCAGGGGTGCAGCCCCCGTGCAAAAAGCAAAAGCCTCCTGTGCCCCCTGCGCCCGCCACTCGCCGTGGCGCCTGTTTCCACGAGCCGTGAACTGAGGAGTCCAGCAGACTGAACACCGACAGCTCTCGCCTGACGCCTCCACAGGTCGCTCAGGGCACAAGCCCAGGAGGACAAACGGGCTCCTCTGGCCCCAACAGTCCTGCTGGGCAGCGGGGGTCAGCAGTGGGGGCCGGGGAGGAGACCCGGGTACTGGGGTGTCCCGGGTTGGTCCCCGCTGACCCACACAGCAGAACTGCCCCGCGGAGCCCAGACTCACGCGTTCTGGAACAGTGGACGGTTACTGACAGTGGATGGTCATTTCTGTCACCGATATTTTCGATTTGGGACACATAGGTGGCGGTGCTCAGGGACCACTCTTGGAAGGGCTTGGGGGACCATGTGCGACGTTGGGAATTAAAGCTGGGTCCGCTGCGGGCCCACACAAGTGCCCTCAGCCCTGCACTATCTCTCTGGCCCTGTTTCTGGGTTTTTTCCATTTCTTTTTTTTTCTCTAGCAGCAGAAAACTGGCATCAAACTGAAATCATATATTTTTAAATGCATTTTGCTTTTTAAGGAATGAAAAACTAGTATCTAGTATCAATAGTAGTGTTGAACTACTGTAAAATCAAATAGAAGCAACATGAAATGCTGCTCACGTTGGTGGGCTGGGGACATCATGAAATAAAGCTCAGAATGACAGGATGTGCTGAGGAAGCTTCCACCTGTGCCTCACAGCCTTGGCTCTGGACCCTGAACCATTCTCCCCATTTGTCAGAAGGGGAAACCAAGGTCCAGAAGGATGGAAAGACTCTGAGCCACGGCAGAGTGGGGACAAGGATCAAATCCTCCTTCCTCCCTGTTTTTTGACCTCAGAGTGACCCTCAGGGTTTCCGGTGACCTGGGATGCAGGCCTGGGAGGGGACCTCATGTCTGACTCTGCCCCCAGAGAGGGGCTGTAGGGCCAGAGTGACCTGACGTGCTGAGCTGGGATGGAGCTGGGGAATCACTCCTGGCAGCTCCCAGGGGACCTTGTGGTACCGGGAATAGAGCCCGGCCTCCGGCATCCAGGCATGAGCACAGCCATCGAGGTTGTTGCCCTTTCAGTGGTGTGGCAAAATGACCAACACGCTTTGTTATTTTTTAAAATTGATATTCTGAGATGTTCTTAAGCCCTCAGAAAAGAGCCCATGGGCAATGAGGGGATCGGCGGTAACAGCCTCCTACAGATGCTCAATTGGTATTCTCAGAGCCGAGGGATAATTGAGGTGCTGCACAATAATCAGAGTTCCACGCACCATTCACAGCTCAGCTGTCGGAGAGGCCAGCTTACTCAGTATTCCAGGCCAACTCTTTAGGGGAGCAGCATGGGTTTTCAGGAGAGCAACTTGCAGACCAGAATGAATTCTAAGGAGGAAATCCCGACCACAGATGGGATGTGATTGAAGGGCGCCTCCTGACTCCCTCTCCTGTCCTGGGCCTACTGGACTTACTGGGGCTTGTCAGAGAACAATCTTGCCTTGATCTCTCATTTGACCTGGAACTGTCATCGTGTTCTCAAGGAAATGCAGTGCCCTGTGGTGGAAATGGTGGTGGTGACCCAGAGCGAAGCCTCCAGCCTGGCACACTAATACTCCTCTGTGGAGGGGGCCAGGGAAGGCAATGCCCACCCTCTACACTGAGTCAGGTGAACTGCACCCACGGAACCAACAGCATGGAAGAACAGGCTTTGTTACACCTTAAAAGGGGGAGCCCCGAGCTAGGTCAAACAAGCACTTTCATGCAGCACTTCTCATGGGAATTTTGTGACCGCCTTCCTTTGGCTCTGAGCCCCATTACCGTGGTTTTGGACCCTGTTATCTGCTGTTTCAATATTCTGCTCCCTCCCTAGTCTCCGTGGCAGTTGACGAGGAGCCAACCTTCCTAAAATTACTAAAATCCCAAAATTCTCTATGTAGCGTATGTTATATAACATCTCTCCCTCTTTGACTGTCCCTCGAATCCTTTCGCCCTCAGACTGCACCTGGTCTTCCACGTCCACAGGATGATAATGTGCCACTAGCAGCTGGAATCCAGTGACATCAGGGCTGGAGCGGATAAATCCTCTGGCCAGGTACAGAGTCATGGGCCAAGTAGGAGGGGACTAAGTGGGAAGGTGAGGGTGACCTGGCAAGGGAGTGAACCACGGTAGGATCCGTTATGCTAGCATCCTTGGACAGCATAGCAAAGCTGCATGAAGAACTCAACACAGCCCTGCAGCGTTAGTACAGGACTAAGATGTGGTCTTGGATGTGGCCAAACTCGGTTTGATTCCCAGTGTTCCATAGGGTCCCCCGAGAACTTCCAGAAGTGAACCCTTAGCACAGTGCCAGGAGTAAAGGCCTACTTATGGGTATGGCCCAACGCCTACCTCCTTCCAGCTTCTGCCTTGCTCTCAAAATGACTAAACATGACCTTGAAGTACATGTAATCTTGATAAAAAAAATCACAATCCATAGACCAAGACAAAGAACAGAAAAGGAGTGAAGAGAACGAAAGAGGCAAAGCTCCAGCCCCAATCGTTCATGCCTAAAACAGGCCAACCAATGTGCCTCTGACCTTCCCAACCACTGGGGCAGAGGCAGAAATAAGGTGAGTTCTGTGACTTGGTGGGAAAGAATCAGCCATTGAGAAAGAAGCTTGATTGCTCCTGGAACAGAAGCCAGAAGGAGATTTCTCTCGGTGGGTCGGGGTAAAGATGACATTCCATGATGTGTGAACCGTGGCTGGTAGAAACACAGTGGGAACGCTTCACTGGGGACTGGGAGACTCATGCTCCTGAAGGAAGATGGGAAAGCTTAGAGCACTGAAAGAGGAAGCCTCAGTTTCCCCTTGCCGGCTGCTCTGAGCAGGCCCATTTTTGACTGCTTCCATCCTACATTTTTCACTTCCTCGGAATCCCTGGGCTCTTTCTGATAAACAGGAAGTCAACAATTGTCCAACATAAAATTCTGCCAAACTAGGCTCACCAGGAGGTTAAGATAATGAGCAAAACCCAAGGCAAATTGCCAGAGAGCACCTGTTAGAACAGCGCATTATCTGTGACATTCTCATCAATTGATAAGAAATGCAAAGCTCAATTTTATTTAAAAGGGTCTACACAACAAACCCTTATCTTTAATATCCTGCATTCTCTGTAACACAAAGTTAGTGTTCTTATAAAAAACACACACACGGGGGCTGGGGCAATAGCACGGTGGGTAGGGTGTTTGCGTTGCACACGGCCAACCCAGGTTCGATTCCCAGCATCCCATATGGTCCCCTGAGCACCGCCAGGGGTAATTCCTGAGTGCAGAGCCAGGAGGAACCCCTGTGCATGGCCAGGTGTGACCCCAAAAGCCAACACACACACAATGAGCATAGTTAACATAGTCCTATACTCAGTTCCCCCTCGTGGGGGGTTCCTTTTCCTTTCTCTTCCACTTTCCAATATGTTTTTTACTCTCTAACTCTGAGCATCATTATTACTCATTATCTTCATTCTTAAAAATACTAAAGAACCTGGGGAACATACACCAGCGTGGAGATCCACCGTCACTGCATCACTTCTGCATCAACATGATTCCGTAAAGCCATGGCCCACAGGCCTAGGCAGAGTCTGGGCGCCATCTCCCCTGAGTGTCTTAGAAATACCCAGCAAGAGCTCACACACACAGGCACTGACCACGCACATACACTGACCCTGGCTGGCACCCGGCTAGAGGGATGACCCCCACACCTGGGATGACTGTCAGGGTGCTGGAGTTGGATGTCACTGGGGAATGTCATCGGTGGATGACACAGTTGGATGTCATCGGTGCTACAGATGCATTCTCTCTAAACACTTTTTGTTGGGGGGGGAGGTTGGGGCACTCAGGAGTATAAACTGGAGGCACGTATGTCCCTAACATGGTCCCAAAGCCCTAGAGAAAGAGCCAGCACCTGCCGTCTGCAAACTCCCTTACCCAGAGAGGAAATAGGAGACCTAAGTTAGGCTACCATTTGTCTACAGAAATGAATGTTTTACAAAAAGGAGAAGTATTTTTATTTTATTTACATTTGCATAAAATGTCTCTGGAATTGTATTCACAGTCTGACAGCCCTGGCAGGATTGCTAGATGAGCAGTTTCAGATGGAGAAGGGGAACTTTTACACATACTTCTTTACACCTTTAAAATTACGAGCCATATGAATGTGCCAATCAAAAACATTTTAACTGAATTAAATCCAGTCATACTAAAGAGAAATTGGCAAGAGACTTGAAAAAGCTATTCGAAGTAAAAGGATGACTGCATAATGTTGTTGATTAAATATATTTAATGCCTGGCTTCGGGAAACTTTAGTGAAAACTAAAAAGGGATAAGTCACCACCGCAATCAATAAAATAGCTAAAATAAGGATGAATAAATGTATCAGGCTTTGGTGGAAAGGTGGGCCAAGACCGGCTCATATGTAAGTTTGATTGAAATGTATATGAGTCAAATATTTTGGAAAACTTTGGCCGGTATCTATGCAAGCTTTGAAATTATGTACATCCAACGACCCACCCGTTTCCCTCCTTGGCTAGTTGTAAGGTAATGGTGACAGCTCTGTTCCTTTGCTGAGGAGAAGGTGAAGAGTCTGTTGCAGAGCAGCAGACCCTGGGCACTGGTCCTGTGAGCGATTACTTCCCACAGAGGGAAGCATCTCACTGAATGGAAGAAGAAACAAACACATGTTCCATCTCGGTGGCCCATCAACCGGGGCCCATCAAGGAGTCCTTTGACCTTAAGAGCCCCCGAAGTGA